TTTAATGGAACGTAGACAAAACAGTGCAAAGAGTTTTACAAATTTCAATAATTTAAAGGTAGAGCATGAAATGAATAATAAATAGCAAGTAGAGCATTAAATGTACTGACTGATAAGCATGGGATCTCTCATCAAATGTAATCAAACTGGAACAGATATAGAAGCAAAGAGACAAATATTTTAAAGATTTGAAAATATGAGTTAAATTTGCAAGTATGTCATCAGACAGCTTATACAGGAAAAATTAAAGCTTAACACGAGAAATCTTTCGTTTCGTAAAATATTATCTGAAAATAGGAATTAAATATCTCGCAGCATGTTTTGAGCAAAAGCCAACCTTTTGCCCGATTCATCCGTAAGAGTCAATGTAAATTCTTCGTCGCCGGGCCAGCGATCACTTTCGATGAAAGTCCTAGCTCGCGTGAAATCTGGGATAAATAAATCTGGACAGTCGGTCTGTGAGCTGTAGCCTCCATCCAAATGTTCATCTGAAATTTCCACTCAAAAAAGAAACTAACTGAAACAATTCCAATATCTTCTTGATATTCGTTTTAGTGTAGTGTGCGTACTGCCATGCCTTCTACATTAAACTGACGACAAATAATCAATATGGAAGAAAATTCTAAAATATACGAAATTTCAGACCACTTACCATTTCTTTCTGGATAAATATATGCAACACGGGGTACATAATCGCACTTAATATTTTGGTACGGCAAACCGTTCATCTCATTTCTAAAAATTTTTCTACAAAAATGGATCGGTTATTAAAACTTCTTACTTAAATATAGTTCACGCTCAGGCAAATTATCATAAAATTATCACTGAATTGATCACGCCAATGAAAGCAATTAGCTATCGCCATAAAGAAAATTAAAATTTCACATTTCATTTTACAGTTCAAAGTAAATGAACACCTTTTAACAAGATTTATAATGAGAGCTCGGTCAAATAGGCGTGATTCCATACATCCATAAAAACTATTTAAGTGCTTATCATAAAGAGCCAATGTTTTTCGATGGACCAATTTCGCTCGCGTTACTTGCCTTTTCAATTTAAAATTTATACCGCTCCTTTCGTCCTAAATTTCGCCACGTTTATCCTTTTATAAACATGAAATTGAAACTATTTTTGCTGTTGCAAAATCGACAACTAAAAATATCATAAATCAGTAACAGAATCATTTTGTTCGTCTATGGAATTCGTTTAACGCTTATCAGTTCCTGAAATAAAAATAGAGCACGCTGACCAGTTGGATCGTTTAAAGTGACCTTTCTTGCTTTGATAACGAAAAAGATAGAACTTACTGAATCACCGACACATGACAGGCTTTGATGAGAAATTTGTCTTTTGGCAGCAGTTTCATTGGAATGCTCACTCGACAAAACAGCTGGGCGCTTTGCCGTTATAAAATCAGATCTTAAATAATTTTAATCAATTTGACCACAAACAACAACCGAAGAAATGATTTCAACTTACGAATTATATCCAATCAGAAATAGCATGACCTTTCCGAATTCCGATCAGAACTGACCATCCTTTTTTTCGTGGTTCTAACCAAAAGCCAAAGGTACAGCATTGCGTAAATTTTTAAATCAATAAAATTAATAAAAAGATGTATCGTCACAGGTGCGATGAATCATCCGCAAAACATACACAAAAGTTGACAAATCGATAGAGAAAATTCTGTTTGTTGAACATTTTTTTCAATTTGAAAATCGTATGTTGTGTGTGAATGTATTTTAAAGAGATCGGTAAGGAGAAAATGATACCGAAATAATTTGCAGTCCACATTTACATTTCCCTAATGAAAATGGTTCAAACTGAGAGAGGCTGATTCTACTTCATTCACTTCCTTTCTGTCAACGGATCGATTTCACATATTACAGGAATCAGTAAATTTTTGACAAAAATTGAACTAATCCAATCTTAAGGCCCGACTTTTCCAATCTTTTAACAGATTTACGAAATAAAGAGTTCATTTCAAGATATCTTTTGAAATAAATGAATAAAATAAATATTCGTGATCAAAATAACCTTGTAATTAGTTTGTGATGATGAATGGGATAGTTCGATCCCGACATTTGCTTCCACCACTCTTCTCCACACAAATTCTATGTACTTAACTATCTGAAAAATAAAATTAGATTTGTGCGAGATTTAAACTAAATGAAGCAGTAGTTAAGTAAATAAACCAATGAATGATTCAAGTATGTTCCATTAAATCTGATTATTTTTGTCAACAAAGCTCATTTATTTAATAGGATAATGCGGGAAGTATTAGAGAGAACTATTTATATGATCCTCTCCCTAATGCAACTGCAAATGAAAATGCTTGCACATGCTAGCATGACATTTATGTCCACAATTGACAGCTAAGCATACTGTTCAAACAATCTAAAAAGTCGATTATATAAAAAGTTCCAATTCTCAACAAATAAACTATTATCGAAAGAAATTACAAAAAAAAAAATTAGAAGTTGAGCACCGACAAAGCTAAACAAAGCCAAAATAAATGGTACTCCTCCTCATTCTTCCTCCTTTCCAGGTAAACAGGAACCTGTTTTACTAACTCCCAATCCTTTCATCGCATTATCAACAACATCTGTTTTTTCGGATACATTACAAAACAATACTCATATTGCTATTATCGATCGTTTTGATATTTAGAGCACATTTTTACAGCAAAAATGCTGAGAGAGCGGCTGAAAGTTTTCGATGGAATAATGTGTGAGGATCAAAGTACACACTGTCCTATTATTGTTCAATTTCAAATGATTTACAATATTTGGGTGACAAGAACATGCTATAATATCTTGATGCTAAAGGAGGATCAACCTATTAAGCATTCTCTCAAGTTTCACGAACATGCAATCAATTGCATTTTCAGACAAACATTGTCTAATTTAGCTAGCATCGAGTCATTTTTCAATTCCTATGATGTAAAGCTTCAAAATATCGATTAGTAAGAGGAGCGTATACATAAAGCAAATATAATGACAATTTTCATGTTCAGATATGGAATTATAAGACGGATTGGAAATACTGAAATTGTTACTTGCATTTAATTGAACAACCCACTCGAATCTCAAAATTTCGGAAGCTCGTGGATTTGGCTGCTTACCATTCAGAATTTATTATTTTTTAATTTAAATACAGAATTACAATCTTACATTATTTACAAGCGGCTGCAAGAAGTGAAAAAATATTCTTCCAAATTCTTATATAAACCACAATTGCTTTTATTTCTCTGGAAAATATAAGCAGATCTTCTTCTTTCATTAAATTTCTGTTTCGCGTTTTTAACATGAAATATTCCGTTCGGAATTCCTTGTTACAAAACAATTCGTATCAACTCATATATCTTTATCGCTTTTATTAATACTTTTGAAACTTTTGAAATTTAAAAATATTGAACTTCTTACTAATTAAGGATTTACAGGTCTATTTATAAACTTACATAATAATAATTTACAAAGAAATATTTAGTTAAAATACTACACTGAATAACATTTATGAAACAATTATTTGTGTCGCAAAATATTCCAATTGGCCATGATCTCTTTTATGCAGTTACAAAACATTAATTTTGCATTCATCTATCAAGTAGCTAATATTGAAACCAAAATTGACTTACATATTTAAATTCTATACAGTTAAAATGCTTATATTAAGTTGTTTTCTTCTGCAATTTCTGATTTTGAAATTTTAATATTGCTATTAACTCGTACTTCTAGTAGATTTTTTTATTACTTTATCATATTTGTTTAAACCGTTGCTGATTAAACAACATTGTAGTTGTAAATTAAATAATTGTCATAGAGGATTGATGAGATATTTGATAATAAAGGTACTCTAAACTGACAAGCATATGTAGTAGGCAGTAAATATCTGAGAAATATAAATGTCGAGAGTAGTTTTCGATACATTTGCTATTAAAATCTGTGGGAGAAAATTGTAGCATTGCAAGTTGCAAATTTAAAAGTTATCAGCTGTTTTCAAAGTAATTTTCCAAAAGTAAAGACTAAGAAGTCTGGAATCAAAAATTTGTCAATTTTTGAATAATTGTTTGTTTCTTGCTTTTAATCTCTTGCAAGTAATTTTTATTTTGGAACACTTTGAATAATTATGCATACAATGTCTGCTTCAATAACTTAAAAATTGGTCATTCTTTTAAAGCATTGTTTTCAAAATTTCTTTTAAAACTTGAAAGCACTGTTGTTGGATTTAACTATTGATTTTGCAGTTCTTCAGAGAAAATAAATGATTACATTCAGGAATTTCAAGATCTATTAAATGTCCACATGCATGTGCAAAATATATGTCATACATCGATGTTGCATAGCGCAATTTCATGAGGCTTTGTATCAACGCACCGTTCTTAGCGAAATCTGATTGAGTCATTATGATTTCTGAAGGCATCAAAATAAATAAAGCAGTTATCAATGCATATTTGTGTAAGATTTGTAAACTATGTTTAAAAAATGAAAAGTGTGAAATTTTCTTTCAAAAATTATTAAGTAAAAATGTTTAGTTATTATTCTGACGTATTAATTTTTTCTTTTTCTTTTTGAAAATGATACTTCTTGAAAAGAATTCAAAAATTTTCGACTATTTATCGAATAGATATCAGTGATTGTTTCACACGCTACAAGCACATAGGGGACAAATGAAGATACCAGAACAAACACATATTCGGGTAAGACTGATGCAAAAAATTCGATAGCAGCATAGAGCAGACGATGAATAGAGGATGAATAACAAAAGATGAAAAATGATACCATGAGCTGAAAAATGAAATTCAAAAACCAACATCAGAAATTTTGTAAGGAATAGAGAGAAAAATTCAAATCTTACGTTTTCAAAATAGTAATGTAGAAATAACTGATGTTGCTTGCTACGTCTATGATTTTCAGATATAATTCAGTAAACTGCTCTATGATGATGACTATGATTATTCGGAATTGAAAAATGAAGTAGAAATAAAACAAAAAAGCTTAATTGAAAAGAAACATTTGCAACCGTATAGTAACAGCTGTCAGAATCATCAGATAACAACAAAAATAATTACCAAGCAGTATTTCGATAATAAATTTGCAATCTAATACTTCTAGCAATGTGCAAATCGATGAAATTTTTTCTGACTAGAGAGTTTTAGAAAATGTATGAAAAATGAATAGTAAAATGAATATCGAAGTACAGCTTAAATGTATGGTTAGGAAAGAGCACTGTGAAATTGTTTGATTTGAATAGCACTTATAAATACTGAAATAAATGCTGAAAGCATTCATGCGAATTCATTAAAATTTGATTCAATGATTATAAAAATGTAAGATCGATAAAATATAGTGCAGGAGTATATGCTTCGAATTCAGCATAGTTTAAAATATCAAATGAAAGATAAAAATTATAATTCAAATCGCATTTGTACAAAAGCAAAAAAAAAAACTATAAGAATTAAAAAAAATCAAACTCCTTAATTTTAAGGAAAGAACTTGCAGTGTTTGTTATGATAAAATTGCAAATAAGCTGGTTACACAAGATTAACAATAAAAACTATGGATTATGGTTAACATTATCACTGTCTAAAAACCTGCATTTTACTACCAGTAGCAGCAAAGAGCCGAAAATTATCGTAAATTAGAATGTAAATGAAAATTTGAAATCAAATGAGGATCTAAAAAATTAAAGTTGAATACACACAGCGGTATATATTAGTTGCAAGTATCACATATCCCGTAATTTAAACTTCATTCTCCATGTTAGCCTTCAATTTGCTTAAATTGAACGAATCCAGTGAAATTTGAGGCTTTTTTTTGCATGCAAGCACAGCTTACGTGAAAATTGCTATTAGGTATCAGAAAAACCGCAGCATAATATATTTACCAATTATCAGAGACAATAGCACTGCTGGATCACCCGAACAGGTATATAGTACATAAATAAGTTGTAATGAAGGAATACATTTGGCTAAAAAGATTTCGATTACAACACATCAAATTAAGTCGTTTATTTCACCTTCCAGTCGAATGGTTTAGATCGCCACTGATCTTAGCACACATTCTTTCTTCCATATCTTCCTTAAAGCTGTCAGCAATACATTTCCTGTTGTACAATCACCGCCATCCAGTGTTTGTAACTTCAGTGTGACCTCTTCCAAATTAGGAAATTCTTAAATAAGATAGGCAAGCATATTCCTACCGTTTTATTTCAAAAGGTAACTTGCAGCTACTTCTTTCTGTATTTCACATAAACACCCAAAAGAAGTATTCACAGAGCTATAGAAAAGACATTTAAAATATGTCGTGTTAAATGTCAAAGTTGATTTGCTGCTGATTATGTTTACTGTGATATCAACTGTCATTTGTTGTTGTGTGTTGTTATAGCAATGAGATCAAAGTTTATATATTCCATAATAATAATTTTGTTTAGAAAATGAACTTTTTCTTTCGTAAATCCGTTAAAAGATCGGAAAAGTCGAGCTTTAAGATTAGATTAGTTCAATTTTCGTCAAAAATTCACTGATTCGTGTGAAATCGATCCGTTGAGAGAAAGTAAATGAAGCAGAAATATTTCAGATGGGCCTCTTTTTGCCGTACCAGAATATTAAGTGCGATTATGTACCCCGTGTTGCATATATTTATCCAGAAAGAAATGGTAAGTGGTCTGAAATTTCGTATATTTTAGAATTTTCTTCCATATTGATTATTTGTCGTCAGTTTAATGTAGAAGGCATGGCAGTACGCACACTACACTAAAACGAATATCAAGAAGATATTGGAATTGTTTCAGTTAGTTTCTTTTTTGAGTGGAAATTTCAGATGAACATTTGGATGGAGGCTACAGCTCACAGACCGACTGTCCAGATTTATTTATCCCAGATTTCACGCGAGCTAGGACTTTCATCGAAAGTGATCGCTGGCCCGGCGACGAAGAATTTACATTGACTCTTACGGATGAATCGGGCAAAAGGTTGGCTTTTGCTCAAAACATGCTGCGAGATATTTAATTCCTATTTTCAGATAATATTTTACGAAACGAAAGATTTCTCGTGTTAAGCTTTAATTTTTCCTGTATAAGCTGTCTGATGACATACTTGCAAATTTAACTCATATTTTCAAATCTTTAAAATATTTGTCTCTTTGCTTCTATATCTGTTCCAGTTTGATTACATTTGATGAGAGATCCCATGCTTATCAGTCAGTACATTTAATGCTCTACTTGCTATTTATTATTCATTTCATGCTCTACCTTTAAATTATTGAAATTTGTAAAACTCTTTGCACTGTTTTGTCTACGTTCCATTAAA